CAGGCATCTTCATGTTCCACCTATCAGTCTCCTATGATTCCTTCAATTGACCATCGAGCACATTTACTGGAGGTGTGGATTGGCTGCAATGTTCTAACAAATCCGTACAAGCGGTAGAAGCTAGCTTGAATGATGACCAATTCTGACAACCTCTCTCTTCGGCCGATGTCACACTTTGCGAATCGCGCGATTCGCAAATTCTGACAACCTCTCTCTTCCAGATTCGATCCTTCCTTTGTTAGCTGAACACGAGAGGGCCTTCGCCTTCGGGACCGACACATAATACTTGCAGAGTCACTTATGAAAATAAAAGTCAACAGCTAGATGGCAACATCTTCAAACTGAAAGCAGAACAAGACAGTCTGCTTGGGTTAGATAGCCGCCTGATGCCACCTTGCGGAAGAGAATTCGTAGAAAGAATGGAGATTTTCAGGCTGATAGTTCCCTCAGCTTCGTAGTACCATAACCTTGGGCCAACGGATGACCAACTATTGCGCTGATTAGCACTCCTCCTCGGGTTGAAATCTTACGCCAAGCGATAGGATCTCAAAAGCGACATCAGATTTTCATTGGGGCAGATGTTCATGGGATTCCGTAAGAAGCAGGGACCAACTCCCTACGGGTACGCAATGCTTCCTACACGGGAGCCAATGAAAGCAAGACATTTTTTCTCCACTTCCAGATGGATTTAAGCACACTTTGCTCAATTCAGACCGAATGGTCCCAACTTATTATTAAAGAGCGCATTCCATTCTATAAGAAAATCTTCATGGTGGCCACCTACGTGGACGGCATCAGAAGAATTTGCCCTGGAAACGTGACTGGTCGTGCTCAATGGGGTCGTCGAAGATCTCACACCACAACGACGATTTCTCAAAGGCGGGTTCCGAGGGAGTTTGCGTAGTCAGAGGTATGTCTCTAAGAAACTATCCAACGATAAATCGTTTCGATAAGTTATGTAAGAGCTTCAGGCTGAGGCAATCAAGATAGATCTCCTGGAGCTCGAC